TACACGATTGCACTTGCGCTAAGAATTTCTCGGAATCCGTTAATCTTCATGCGCTACCGATCTCTCGGAGTTTCTAGGAAATACTAAATATTTCGCCGCGTTAGTTTTCCATTTTACTCCTTCATCTCGAGAGGAAGGAATGAATGACGGCATAGAGCATTTTGCGCTTGCAGAGACGAGCAGAAATGTACCATACTTTCAACGGATAAGACGAGATCCCGTAGAAAGGAAAGATCGCGAGCGATGTTAGGACATGTTGCCTTGGTCGACCGCCGATTTTATAAGATCATAAAATTTGGCTTGCAGGAACTTCTGCTACTTCTTTTCTTTTTGTCTTTCTTTCTTCTTTCCTTTCTCGCTTCATGCGTCGTGATTTTGTCCGGCGCTCAACTCGCCGCTCATCCAAAATTTTAGGCACGCTCTTCTAATTCTCCGAAACGTAGAGTTGCAAAATCTGATTCTTTCCCATGATCTATTTCTGCAGTCGAAATTAAAAGATTTTTACATTCATTTCTGAGAAAAATTTCTAGTTGAAAATGAATCAATATATGCTGATCATATTAATCAGAATTCTGCTCATTATAATTGGGCGTATCTGGTTATCTCGATTAGAATTCTAATAGATTTAACCAGGAAATTTTGATTTATCTATTTTTCATTAGAATTTCAATTAAAGTAATCAGTACTCTTTTTTTAACGTTTTAATATCAATTTCTATATAATATCAATATAGATTAATTACACACTTTCGATTAACTTATTTTTTATTTTTTTTTTAAATAAATAATTTTTAGAACGAGAAAAAAACGAGATTAAAGCTAATCTATATTAGTAAAAATAAATACGAAAGAAATTTTCAAATCTTCGTGCGAAGTTGGCGGAATTAACTGAAGCTTATTTTTGCATCAATTGTTAATAAATAAAAAAAATAAGAGTAATGTAATAGACAGATATAATTTTTAATACATTGATTTTTTAGTTTCACGTCCATGTTTATGTATACGTCGTCAAACCAGTTTCTTTAAATGTATGAGGATTGATGGAAAAATTCTTTGTATCGTTCTATTTCTGATGCTGTGATATTGGAAAAAAACTACTTTCATGTATCAATGATCTATCGAATATATACACTTTTTATTACGCTTTAAAACAATTGGAGAACGTTTAGTGGCGAATTTTGTATCATCCTCTTTAAAGAAACGGCTGTTATGTCTTCTTTTTATCAGGAAGAGATTTTCTTTCACGCAAGTTTTTCAAGATTATGAAATGATCAAGAAAGATAAATGACGAAATGACACCTGAAAGAGAGCCTGATGTTACCGTTTTGATTTATTCTTTTGTCGCAAGAATGGAAGAGATACTCCAGATGCCTTCTTAAAGAGGATGTCACAGAATTCATGTTGTACGTTTTTGAGCTCTCGGAGTTGCTGCCTGTTCATTGTACGATTGATTTGACAATTTGAAAGTTTCCTAATTACTTTTTCGAGGCGCCTTTTTATGGCACAATTAAAGAAACATCTACTCGAGCCATATTCTAAAACATGTAGCAAATTATAGAACGTGAAAGCTTACATACTGGTCTCTAGACGGTGTACAAGCAGAAGACCTTGGCCTTGCTAGCCGTCATCGCGGTATTACGCAATTGTTGCGCACGGAATATGTACAATACAATCTCAGAACTTTTCAATTAACACTCATGCGTATATATATCGTGTATATATATATATATATTGGGTTGTCCGGAAAGTTCGTGCCGACTAACCTATATAATTTAATAAA